CTTTTATCTTTCGATTTTTTTATTCCACCTATTTTTTCGATCGCCATTTCTAATTCGTTTTTTTTTCTTTTTTTTTTTTCTTTTTTAATATTTTGTTTTTTTTATTCCACCTATTTTTTCGATCGCCATTTCTAATTCGTTTTTTTTTCTTTTTTTTTCAGACTTTTTATTTCACGTCAATTTCTCAATCAGCATTTATTTTTTTTTTTTTATTTCTCAATCTCATTTATTTCGTTTTTTTTATTTTATTTCTTGATCCCGTCTATTCCGTTTTCCTCTTTTTTTTTATTTCTCGATCCCGTTTATTTTGTTTTTTCTTTTTTTATTTCTCGATACCGTTTATTTCATTTTTTTCTTTTCATTTTTTTATTTCTCGATCCTGTTTATTTCATTTTTTTCTTTTCATTTTTTATTTCTCAATTCCGTTTATTTCGTTTTTTTTATTTTTTATTTCTCAATCCCATTTATTTTGTTTTTTCTTTTCTTTTTTTATTTCTCGATCTTGTTTATTTAATTTTTTTCTTTTTCCTTCTCTATTTCTCGATCCTATTTATTTTGTTTTCTCCTCCTCTCTTTTTATTTCTTGATCCCATTTATTTATTTTTTTTTATTTCTCGATTTCGCCTATTTCGTCTTCCTCCTTTTTTTATTATTTCTATCATTATGGCTTTGGCTGCTCCTGCTGTAACTCCATTCGAATGGACAGTTGACGCTGCAAGAGAATTAATTCGACTTCAACACAATAATCATGACGATTTTGAGTTTGTACAATTACCATGAAAGGATATGGAGAACCATATCCAACCAATTGTTTCTTAATAGAGGGTTTGCCACTTCTCCTTTTCAATATCGTAAGAAATGGTACTCATTAAAATATGGGTACGAAAATCTCAAGAAGTTAGAAGCTGGGGAGAATCCCCACGACCAACCAATAACAAACCCAACTCTGCATGATCAAATATTTCATGCAGAGTTAGATGACGAATTTTGGCTTCGAACCGTAATTATTTATTGAATAATAGTAATAAGAAATATATTTTTTACTTTTTAAAACTTCAATTTTTTAATTTAATTATT